AACTGGGTTCAGAATTTGAATGGCATTGTCTTATTTGGTGTATGGGGAAAATAAGTTGAATTCCTGGAGCTGTCTTATTCATACAGACCTATGAACAACCATGGAGTTCAGTCTACAGGCCAAATGAAAAAGAATTTCTGACTATTTTTCAATGATGTAGCCTCACTGCAGCAAGCACTACTACAGAGTAGTCATTTGCAATATATCTTATGTACTTATGTGCTTTATTTGCTTAATTTCCTCACAAATAGAGTGGAAAATGTTGTATACATATTGGTACATTTCCTTATTGCAAGTGACAAGTGTTCAGTTTTTACTGTAAAAGACTTAAAGAGAAAGGATATAGTTGGAAGCAGAATTGGCTCGTCAATTGTTTGATTGTTGTGATACAACAGAATTTTAAAAGATACTTAAAATTTGATGGAAGAAATACAGTATTTTGTTTAAGTCAGCCCTGCTGCCTTAGATTTTTCAACAAGTAATGGAACTGGCAAAAATAATGCTCTGCTGTGGTGTTTTAAAATGGGATCTTATTGTACATCATACCTTACTTGGCTGGAGTCCATGGTAAATAATCCATAAAGGAAAACAAACAATCCGACAAGTGCAGCAGGAATGAGCATTCCAGTATACCATCCCAACCAAGCAAAATAAAGGCCAATTTTTTCTCCAAAATATCGCCTGTGAAAAACCAAACAGTTTTTTAAAGCATTAAATAAATGACCCTGCTCATTTTTATAGCATTGGAATCATCCTAAGAGGAAACCATCATCATTGAATCTATGTTAAATTATTGTCTTTTTAGAAGCACTTATGCTAGATACATTTTATTTCATTATAGCAGCATATCATGCTGGCACTAACTGTGATCTAACCAACACATTTTTCATAAAGGCAGAGCCTGGGCACATTATAGCTGTAATGTCCTTAAAATGACTAAGAACATGCATGAACTTGAGCATCAGAAAAATAGGAACTTACAAAACTACATATTTGTATTTATTAATATTGAATCAGTAGGTCCAGTGTTTGTCAAGTACCGTATTTTCCCAAAACTAAGAGGACTTTGAATTTAAGAAGACACTCCAATAATCAGAATCTATACATGAAAAATTATGTGTGTATTATAGTTTTCCATGTAAATACTGTAATTATTGGAAGGTCATCTGAAGTTGGTAACCCCTACTGCTGTGGTGGGGAAAGCAGTGGCAAAGGGTAAAAGGTCAGGCTCCTGCCCCCTTGCAACCCTACTCCTAATCCTTTGCCTGTGCCTGCTCCCCCCCAAACCTTTTACCCCCCCTGCTCCCCTTTGCAGCCTACCCCACCCCCACTCCCTTTTGAGGGTAGAACTTTCAAACTTACAATTAAATGCACAGAAAAATAGCCAAATAAGCCACTTACCATTAGATTTCAGATGAACAGATTCACAGAATTGTCTCTAAATTATTTCATCCAAATATGTATATAGCTGGTAGCATACGTTTGAACACTCTTCAGAATCACTGGATTCCAAACTACGATGTTTCTTTTATCTTAACATTCATATAGTCCCTGTTTTTCTGCAATGCCTGCTCCCTGCCGTCCCTTGCCACTTACTTCCTGCTGCGGCCCTGCTCCAGCTCCAAGGCAGTCAGCAACAGTGGCAGCCCCAGCCCAGCCAGAGAGAAGTGACAGACACTCCTGGCCAGGTCAGATGGGGGCAGAGAAGAGGATAGCTGGAGATGGAGATGGGTAGGCATCACAGTGTCCCCCATACTTCCCCTGAGCTGCACACAGGTCTCACCCATCCCCTGCCAATCCCATAGTCTCCCACATCTTTCCCCACTTGTGAGCCCCGTCCCCCAACAAACAAGCCATCCTAACCCAGGGCAGGTGGTGGCTTAGTTCCAGCTTTAGTCTGCCCTGGGCTGATACTTAACAAGGCTTTCTTCTCTCCTATGCTGATTCAGGGAAGAAAACTTCATCTCGGGTTGAGTAAATAGGGTACTTGATTTGCCTATCAAAATGACTGGAAAAGGATGAAGATGAGTCTTCCCCCAAATACTATTTAGTCAACTACAAAACGACATGGATTGTTAGAGCTAAGTGTTGCAACATGGGGAACATGAGTTTAAGATTCAGCTTTCATTTTGAAACCTCAATACCAAAATATTTGTATGGTCCAACATAAGTGAAATTCAAAAAGCAAAAGCTGCAGCATTAGTTAGAAAATTATTTTAGTTTTGGTAATTGACAGAGTTAATAGTATTTTAGGTAAATAAGTCCTTTCACATATACAGAAAACCTACCAAAACTAAGTGTTTAAAAGTTCCTCTAATTAGCAGTAAGCTTCTGACTGTGCACAGACGTGATTCCTGTTGCAGGTGTAGGGAGGAGGGACACCCATTGGGGCAGTGGACTTGGGAAGCAGCTGTTATAGTTCAGGTAAAGGCTCTGGGTGTGGCATCTGTGGGATAGACTCCTCCAACACTGGTTGCAGTGGGTCCCAATAGTGTGGGTTTCCTGGGGGCAGTCAGTCTGCTGCCCCCTCAAAATAAGTGCCTGGGGTTCATGTCCTGCTCACACTCCACTAGATACTCTACTGCCCATCCCCCAGTGTGAAATCCCAATGGTGGAACAAACAACTAGGACCTTAGTTTGTCACATGAAATATATGAAATTCTAAAATAAGGTATAAAATTTGCTCCTACTTAAAATATATATATGTTTATAAGAAATAAATATTGTAGTTTTTTTAACAGAATACATCATTTTCTACAGTCTGGCTTTTCATATGTCTGAAAAATAGTTGTGTTACATAGGATTAGTACCTGATTAAATCCAGAGGTTGATATTTGTACCACATTCCCCATCGTGCCCAGCGCTCATATAATAGGTGTCTATGATTTTGAGCTCCATGTGTTTTAATGGGATGTCTACTCTTGTGACTTCCCTGAAGCATGGAAAGAAATAACATTATATTGCAATTGTACTAGAGAAAAACAGAGACTGAACAGGACCCAAGGTACAAGTATAAATAAAGACACATTTATGAGGAAGATCCACTGATTCATGAATTGCGGACTATCCCAGGGAATGCAGTCTTCAGTTTATAGTTAAGCCTGATATAATACAAGTGGTTACAAACTTCCCCAAAATAATCTATTAGGGCTATGCAAAGCTTTGGTGGATGAATCTCTGAATCTAAATGAAATCAGGAGACCCTTTAATCTCTCTGAATTGAATCCAAACCCTGCAAATTGATTCAGAGAGATTTGGAAATATTTGGCAATTCAGACATAGACACAGCTCTAAATGTTTTTCTACATACCTCAAGGTACCA